AATCCAACGCAGGATAACTCTTGCCAACAGGTGCTACTTCGGACTGAGTAGGCAATTGAGAAGCAAAGTCCTCTCTCGACAAACAAAAACCAAACTCTACAAGTCACTCACAATTCCCGTCCTGCTATATGGTGCAGAGGCTTTGACGATGTCAACAACGGATGAGTCGACGTTGCGAGTTTTCGAGAGAAAAGTTCTGCGAAAGATTTATGGTCCTTAGCGCGTTGGCCACGGCGAATATCGCATTCGATGAAACGATGAGCTGTACGAGATATACGATGACATTGACATAGTTCAGCGAATTAAGAGACAGCGGCTACGCTGGCTAGGTCATGTTGTCCGGATGGACGAAAACACTCCAGCTCTGAAAGTATTCGACGCAGTACCCGCCGGGGGAAACAGAGGTAGAGGAAGACATCCACTCCGTTGGAAGGACCAAGTGGAGAAGGAGCTGGCTTCACTTGGAATATCTAATTGGCGCCACGTAGCGAAAAGAAGAAACGACTGGCGCGCGGTTGTTAACTCGGCTGTAATCGCATAAGCGGTGACTACGCCTACCAAGAAGATTGAGGAAGCTTCGAGATGTAGAAGTTAAACAGAAACGGGGAGATATCACGAATGATTGGCGACCGCTGTGGCAGCTAAGACAAAAGGCGCACAAAGTTCCCACTCATTTTAGGTAATCCCAAAAATGACTACTAAAAGCCAATATTTCTTAACAGTATCCCGCACGTAAAGGCAACAACAAAGTTGTGGGGTTAAATTAGTTCAGAAGAGTATGCGGATAACTCATCTACCGCTATATTCAATGCAAACAAGTTCTGTTTTATATATTTCAGATTAGCGTAACCATTGTGAATGGTTCAAATAACAAATAAAAAACTCATTTTTTCTTGTATTTTTAAAACTTAAGACTTCAACTCAATTAAAGTAATGTATAGAGAACCAAAATAAGGTGTTACAACAGCGTTTTTTAACTCGAAGGAAGAATTTATCCACTAGGAAACTCTATTGCGCATGCGTCAGAAAATATGTTGACGCAGGGTTGGTTGTTAATTTGAAAGCTACATTTTTTCATATACCATATTTGACGCTTACTTCTACTTACCTTAATTTTTGTGATGGAAAGGTTTTACATAGTATATCGCGAATTTCTGAAATAAAAAATAAATATCCGAAATTAATATTTTACTTCAATCAATGTTGTTTATATTATATACAATTTAATTAGCATATCCACACACTTACGTAAATCTATAGCGAAATAATATTTATTATAATTTTCTATGATCGGACGAACGCTGTATGAGAAGTGCTTCGACGGTTGGAAAATGAACCTTTCAGGACAACAGCTCCGACAATGGAAAGGGGGTATTTGACTACGCCGTGCCGTAAAATGACAGTTTGTGGCAACAGGTTTCAGCATCTAAACATCTATAAAGCGTCCTGGCGCGAAAAGCTTAAAATGCTGTATAGCAGGATATCGGCTCAAAATTTTACCAGAAGTTACGGCACCAACCAAATGATTTCAAGCCCGTACAGGTTTCTGTAAAGACAGAAATGGAAACCTGATAACTGACACCCAGAATAAACTCGAAATTTGGAGAGAATATTTCTTACTCATACTACTAAATGGCGATAGCGACGGACAACCAATCTATCGTGACAACATTGTCGTAATGCCACTCCCCCAATACGAGGTAAACATAGCTCTAAGTTAGCATAAGAACAAAAAAAGGTCCAGGGCCCGATATTTTAGCGACAGAAACTTTAAACTGCGAAACTCATACGAATATGCAGAATGATGTTGAGCAAAATCATAAACTCCGTCAAAACCCTAGAAAAGGTTATACGTGCCGCTAACCTGAACCGCAGTGCCACTGTCTATTTTAAAAGTACATTGCTACTGAGTTATGCAAATGATATTGACATTGTAGGCCTTAGCAACAGAGCCACGAAGCCTTTCCAGCCTCGATAACGAAGCGAAGGGGGTTGGCTTTGTGATAAACGATAAGAAAAAGTACCTGGAGGCCACACACAAAGGCTCCTCATGACAGTTATTAATTTGAAAATTAAGAAATTTGAAAATAAGAAATTAAGAACTTTTTATATCTTGGGACCAGCATAAATTCCATCAAAAATCTTTAAAGGCTCAAATCAAGCGCAGAATAACTCTAGACACCAGGTGCTACTATGGGATCGGTTAAGAATTTTTAAGCAGATTGTCTTATCAACGAGCAAGAATTACGCTCCATAAGCCTCTCATTTTTTGGGTTTACATGGTCTCTGGAGCCGTCCGCGCGAGCGATGAATACAGAAGACGATGGAACCACGAATTATATAAGCTCTACTGGACAAGGATATATCTAGGAGCATAAAAATGCACTGGTTAGGTCATTTCGTTTGGGTGGAAGATAATGCTCCAGCAAAAACCTCCCTCGACTCGAGACCCATCAGTAAACGGAAGAAAGGGCGGTCACACATTCAATCGAAATACCAAGTGCATTTACGACCTGTCTCCACATGCGATGAAGCGCTGGAGAGAGCTCTAAAAGGCAAAGTTTAATGTTCTCGATCCAGACCAACCCATGGCTGTAGTGGCAAAGAATAAGAAAGCCTTGAATTTCAGTAAAACGTTAAAGTACATCTAGGTGTTTAATGTTTTTTCTTCTAAAGTAACCTAAGTCAATCATATCGGTTATGAAACTGGCTTTTGAGTCCGTCGTCCTCTAAAATCAATTATTATAAATTGCTCAAAGTCCCTACAGTCACCACGATCCATATACATAAGTACTCGCATTAAAGTCTGATTGAACAGTTGGCAATTCAGTGCGAAATTAAATTTTAGCGGCGAAATCAATGAATCGGCGGCGGCTCAGTATTTCAGTATCAAAAGGAGCATAAATACCATGGATTTATCAATTCGACAGTTGTTGATTAATAAATTTACTATGCAAATGTAATTAATCTTCACGCTTGTATAAATTGACCACGAGAACGCGTGATGTAATTAACACGAACTTTAATGTACATGTATGTATGTATGTATATATGTTTGTAAATGCGTCAGTTATGATTGGTATATTACGCAGCAAAAATTGGCGGAGATTTTGAAAAGCGCTAGGAGACTAGTTGAACACTTCTCTTATTTTGAGTTTGTTAAAAGAACAGGAAGATTTAACTTGAAAATCCTCAACTCCAATCGAAGTTTTACTAAAGTAACTATTACTGGCCCAATTCTTCAAGAAAAGTCTTCGGGAATGTTTCAAACTGAGCTCACTTGATCTATTACGAAAATAGAGGAAGTCTATCATTAGTGGACAATGTTAAAGTAAAAGTCCTCTCTAGAATCAACAATAAAACAAAAGGTGCTAGCCATTCGTGAAAACTGGAAGAGTAGTGAATCGAACAAACAATTGGCATAAAACAAAATTATGCGTAGAATCGTTTAAACTTGAAATATAGCATCATCGTTGCGCTTAAATTATTTGGTACTCTCAATGAAACTACTTACTAATGTCCGTTATGCTTTCTACGGACAGAAACTCAAGGTTTGGTATAAAATGGATTCCAAATAACATATGTTGGTTTTGCGGTAGAGCTGGGCATTTATAGAGGAAGTGGAAGACAATATCGTACTCCCTTCTGGTTTGCAGCTTTTTAGCGCATGCTCTTCAAAAGAACAATGTGTTGTACGTTGGCTATAAATCTGTATACCATATACTGTTTCTGCACCTATTTAATAAGTCCTTTCTTCTATTCCTGTCATCCTTGGGCTACTGTTTCGTAATCTTGCAGATGGTTATTGGGTTCACTCTACTCTGAGCTTTTTGTTCAATAGCACAAGTCTACAAATAAAAAGCGAAAAAATGCAACTGTCTTGGCTATGCGTGCATCGTTATCTTTGAAGGTTCCTAAGTTTGAATTAGAAGGTAAAAAAAAACATCACGTACAGTTTTCCAGTTACATCAAAAAAAAGTCTCTTTGAAGATATATTTGAAAAATGCCCTGTTGACTAATATACTGACAAAATTTAAAAATAAAAAAAAATTTTTACTTTATGTAAGACATTTATTATATCGTGTAATAATTACATATAACTATTGAACCTGTTCTGTAGATTTCCTTTTTGCAAATGGCGATTTTTTCTTGTATTCTCTATTACTTTCTCTCATTAGGAACCAACAATAATCCCCCATCATTGCAGGATCCCAGCGGCCTTGATATCTCTGTTCCATTGTTAAAATATCTTGGTGGAACCTCTCTCCCTGTTCATCACTGACGGCACCCAAATTTTGTGGAAAAAAACTCAAATGTGAATGTAAAAAATGAATTTTTAGTGACATTCTGCAAAACATTCTTTGGTAGTTTTCCAGCAACTCGTCGATTAGTTCCTCATACGTGTTAGACTTTTTGTTTCCTAAAAAATCCGTTTTATGTGTAAAGGGGGCAGCAAAACCTTACGAGGGTCAACTNCTACAAATAAAAAGCGAAAAAATGCAACTGTCTTGGCTATGCGTGCATCGTTATCTTTGAAGGTTCCTAAGTTTGAATTAGAAGGTAAAAAAAAACATCACGTACAGTTTTCCAGTTACATCAAAAAAAAGTCTCTTTGAAGATATATTTGAAAAATGCCCTGTTGACTAATATACTGACAAAATTTAAAAATAAAAAAAAATTTTTACTTTATGTAAGACATTTATTATATCGTGTAATAATTACATATAACTATTGAACCTGTTCTGTAGATTTCCTTTTTGCAAATGGCGATTTTTTCTTGTATTCTCTATTACTTTCTCTCATTAGGAACCAACAATAATCCCCCATCATTGCAGGATCCCAGCGGCCTTGATATCTCTGTTCCATTGTTAAAATATCTTGGTGGAACCTCTCTCCCTGTTCATCACTGACGGCACCCAAATTTTGTGGAAAAAAACTCAAATGTGAATGTAAAAAATGAATTTTTAGTGACATTCTGCAAAACATTCTTTGGTAGTTTTCCAGCAACTCGTCGATTAGTTCCTCATACGTGTTAGACTTTTTGTTTCCTAAAAAATCCGTTTTATGTGTAAAGGGGGCAGCAAAACCTTACGAGGGTCAACTAGAGGTATATTATTGATGTTAGCTTCACCCGGCACGAAATTACCTCTTGGCGGCCAATCTTTTATTTTGTAATGTGTTTCTGTTGCTCTACTGTCCCAAAGGCAAAAAAAACAGCAGTATTTAGTAAATCCCCCTTGAAGCCCAAGAAGAAGAAGTCCTATGACTTTAAGATCACTACATATCTGCCAATTGTATGTGTTGTAGTTTGTGCAATTCAAAATCAATGACATACTTTCATAAGTTTCCTTCTTATCAACAGCGTGGGAAAGTGGAATTGAAGATTTAGTGTTGCCATTATGTAGCAAAACGGCTTTTAAACTTTTCTCAGATGAGTCTATGAATAAACGCCACTCTTCTGGATTATATTGATAGCCTAACTTCTACATAACACTTGCAGGATCAGTACAAAAGCAAATTTTATCTCGTACTGTAAAGAAAGAGGCAAACTCTTCATTACGTTATCTAAACGCGGTGACCTTTGTACCTTTGGCCAGTAAATTCCACTGCTGTAAAATTGACGCTAAAAGTTCTGCATGTTGTTTAGATAAGTTAAGGTCACGCACTAAATCATTAAGTTCAGGTAAGTTTCATCTTCGGAAATCTGATACACAGGAAACTCTTTGCTTCTTTTACGGGATATAATATTCTCTTCTATAGCATTATCAACAGCACCACGTCCAGGTTCTGTATCTAAGTCCTGCGGCAATGGTGAAACGGGAATTGGTAAATTTTCGCCATGAAGACCGGGTCGTTTAGCTGAAGATATGTCGTTTAGCTGAACGTTGTCATACAAAAATAGCAATCGGTAGCATGGTTTGTCGGCTCACACCAGATTATCGGAATAGCAAAGGGCATTGATGATCTATTTCCATAAAGCCAGTGGCTTAAGTTTGACATACAAGTCCGGCAACAAATATGAGGAGTCCAATTCCGATCTTGATTCACTATAGGAAAACCAAAATACTTGAGATATGCTAATTCAGTCACTTTAGTTATTAATCTGGCATGAGATTTAGGTGTATACAAGCCACAAACATAACAAAATGAATCA